TTTACATGTATGTTTGCATAACGCAAATGACGTCACGCACGGTCGTGCAATACCATTTTTACGGAATCTCAAAATCGCGTTGTCGTTCTTTCATCTTGTCGTCCTGTCGCTAGCGACAACAAACAAAAGCGCCAAACAGCGCGTTGTCGCACTGTCGTCTTGCCGTCCTGTCTCTAGCGAAGCACGCTAAACGGCGCGTTGTCGTGCGGCGCGTTGTCGCCCTGACGCTTGGCTTATAAGCCAATCCTTCTATTTGAACCGAGCGACAATGTGACATCGCGACAACACGCCGCACGACAAAGCGCCGTTTGGCGTGCATCGTTCGCAACAGGACGACAAGAAAAGTCCGACAACGCGCCGTTTTCTCATGTTGTCGCTAGCGCCAACTAGACGCACAAAAGCGTATTAAATCAAAGCACTGAATGTACTGATGGGGAGGCTATGAGAGAATGTTTCAGACTTATAGTTTCTTTTCTTTTTGCTTAAAATATGCTACCAAAATAAAAAGATATGCACATTGCGCTATTTATCCTTACTGTTGTGTTCAACCATTCATATATATGGTTAATGAGGTTGACTATTCATTTTGTTAATATTCAAGAACATTTAATTAAGGTCTACATTCGGACTGTTAATCATGCAAATTTTGAAAAACCTAAACTGTCAATAATAAATGACATACCAGCAAGTATGACGACTGTTCATTATCAGATAACAATAACATTTTACAACTGACGGTTCCTTATCAAAATATTCTAGGACTGTTCATCATAAATATTTTATGTCATTTTAATATTATTGAATGATAATAAACAACTGCACGTGATGCAACATTTTTATTGAACATAAAAATTATACACGTTTAGATGTACCATAATTGAGATCAATAAGATACTGTCTTGTGATGAGTATTAACATTCATGCTCTACGGACAGAAGGTTGTCTTCTTCAGAAGCAAATCTCGAATAAAATCACGTTTCAGAAAATTAATCCCATTTCATTACTGACGGCGTCGGATAATATTAAAGCTAAATATTTTCTTGAAAAAATACATCTCTGAAAAGCTTATTCAAAACTGAATCAACCTAAGTGAAAATTGATCAGGAAGTTATATCTTCTTTTTTTACCGCCAACACTCAACACTCAACCAACTTATGGTAGTTAATCGATAGATTCTACGTGTATTTTTAAACCTCACTAGCTTGAAATATATACTGCGGAAAATCTGTTGTTAACAGGGTGTGCGGTTATTACGTAGGGTTTTCCCTGTCGACCATTTCCCGCAAATAGATGAGAACATCGAAGCCGTCAGTGCTATGAATGTTGTTATAAATGGCGTGTTTTGGAAGTTTTTGTTGAAACTTCTCCAAATACCTCCAGAGGCGTGCACGTCGCGGAGAAGGCACACGGAAGGTCATAGTCAAGTCATCATAAGTACCAGAGGTGATTGGTTGACCTGTCGTGACTTACTCTGGAGGTTTGGCGCTAATAGATGCCGTTTTTGTTGTCGTCAGTCAGAAAGTTGATGCCTTGACGGTATTGTCGTCTCCTTTACCACCAAAGAACGAAGAATGGGCTTCCAGGAAGAATCTGCTTGAAAAAAGACGTCCCAGATGCTATAATCTCGGACATATGGTTATTCCGGCGCCGAGTATAAATAAACTTAAAACACACACACTTTTGTTGAAAACAAAACAACAACACATTTTCTGTAGTAATTTTTCAAGTGTTGAAAAATGAATAAGAAATTCCTCTTATGCCGCCCATTATTTTTAGAACACAACCATAAAAGTTCTTTTTTTTTATTTTTAAAATAAACATTTATCACTTCAGCGCGAGCAAATATCGGTTTCAAATTAAAGTTTCGTAAGATATGTTAAGGACTTCCCGATGCTCGACGACTGTAAGTAATTTGTATATGTATGCGGTTTTTTTTGTTTTTGTTTTTTTTGTTTTTGTTTTTTAATTAAAGCTTCTTATTCTTTAATATTTTTTATGTATCTCATAATCTGTATTGAAAATTTGAATTTTATTACAAATGGACTATCAAATTATGATGTATGCCCTAGAATTGAATAAACTTTCTAATTACACAATACGGGGTCATACTGATCTTTGCGTCTTTCTCTGAAATACTTATTTCCTTGTTAAAACATATTTTACCACATATTTCTGTCAATTAACTGTTCACTTTACTTCCGATTTTGTTGTACGGAAACACATGTTTCTATTTGTGTTTTCTAATCAATTCGAATCTATAATCAGTTTAATGGGATCACCACCGGGTAAACGACTACTAGGTACTTTGGTCATGTTTTTTACCACAAATATTTGAATGTTTCTATTGGGATTAAAATGAGCATAGTTAACTAAACAACTGGTTGTATAAATTCCTGACCTGTCTAATTCTAATTATGAGATTAGTGAATATATAAAGACTTTCACTACAAAAATATTCCTAAACAAAAGAGCACATGTTTAAATTTATTCCTATACAAATAAAAGATCAGAGTAGGGATCTGTCAATTACCAAAGATACTTTTATGTTAAAAGTTTGATTAATGAATTATGTAAGATGAAAATATAAGTATTGCTTTTTTTATTTTGCTAATGTAAAATGTAATATTGTGCTGGAATTTTGTCGGAGGTCCTTAGGGGTTTTGTAGTTAAATAGTTTTTTTTTCGGCGATAATGGTTAAAGAATAAAATGTTTTTAAACTATATGTTCATCACCATCAGTGAATTTTTAGTTAAATGTATGCAAAATATTTACTAAACAGCTATATGATTTAGCGGTTTATGAGCGTTTTCCGCGTACAGCCTCCTGGGGTGTACAAATAAGTTAGTTTTCCTTAGTTATCACGCAAGCATGATCCATGTCTCTGATGTAAGCGACAGTTTACAATTATTTGTCTTTAAAAAATATTAAGGACTATTAATAGTTTATAACAACAAAAGCACATGCATGATATTGAGAATACGTAGTTGCAACGTTCTAGTTAATGACCCGTCATGAACAGTTGGTCGCTGCGTAGTAATTGGAAAATTGTTATCAAAAATAATAAAGAATATTTGCCACTGAATTAAAGCATTTACTTATAAATTTTCATTTATGCTTTTTGTTAAAAAAAATATGGATAAAGTTATTATTTTGAAGGGTTTTCATACCAGAACTATTTAATACAGACGTACGTTTGCCTAAACCTGATTACCGCGGCAGTATGACGTCACGGAGTAGTGATTTAAACAAAAATCAAGAATTTTTCAGAGAATTATTATCTTTACAAATTGCAGATATGAAATTAAAGAATGAAAATATTTTCATATTGTAAATGTCTGTGATGAGTGATGAGTCAGCTTAGAAAAAATCAAGGTACTATTTTTTGACCTGATTACCGTGGCAGTATGACGTCACGGAGTAGTGATTTAAACAAAAATCAAGAATTTTTCAGAGAATTATTATCTTTACAAATTGCAGATATGAAATTAAAGAATGAAAATATTTTCATATTGTAAATGTCTGTGATGAGTTGATGAGTCAGCATAGAAAAAATCAAGGTACTATTTTTTGACCTGATTACCGCGGCAGTAAGATTTGACAGACAGTTATTAACATTGGGTCGGCATAGCCTCCCCAAAAATCAGCCACCATAGGGATGTGATAAAATGTTTTTCAACCTTTATGTTATAGACGTTTTCATGCAGTCGGATCATGTGTTCAGCAGTCAGTAATAATTAAATTGGCGATAAATAGAAGCGTATTTGTTGGAATTTACGAACGAAATCAGGTCTAAAACGCATTTGTTGTATTCAATATAGAATTCAATATAAAATATAAACTTCCTTCTATTTGTATTTGAGTGGTCATCCATCAACTCGAGCTGCTTTTAGAAAAATTGAAAATTGAAATGTAAACTTCAGAAAAAAAATCATATTTCAACAGATTTATTCAAAGATAAACATAATTTTACAAATGAGAGTGTGATGTGACGACTAGACTGGTTTGTAGAGGTCGCTGTTTAGAGGACGTAGTGGTTTGTTACAGTTGTCACTGATACAACAGAATGTACACCGGAAGTCGATAAACTGCTGGTCGGTAGCGTCAAAATTACGACACTGGTCCTCGTCCGATGTTCCCAGGTACCATTCTCTATAACAGGTGTTAAAATCTCCACATCTGTGTCATAAATAGACAATATTTAGGTCAATAAAGTAAACGAAAACGTGTTGCGATTTATTTTTCACATAAATCTTCATCTAGAATTTCTATCTCATACTTTTAGAATGACTGGTAGATTTATTTTTACCCGAATGCCCAACTGAAATATTTCACACAAAAAAATGAAGATCTTTTCTTGAAAAAAGAAAAGATATATAAAAAAATCCGCCCTAAAGTTATAATTGCTTTGGAACTGATTATTTTTTCGCCGTGCATTGTTTTCTTCTTTTTGGTATTTCAAGCAGTATTGTTTTCTCGTTTTTGGAATTTACAAGTTATGTATAGTGTTAAAATTCTTTAACTAAATAGAAAACAATTATGAATTTCATAAAAGCTTATTTCATCACACTATGTACTGTATGAATTTCTTATCTTAAATACTGTTACACATTACCCTAATCCAATTTAAATAAGATTTGAAAGGTGGCGGCCATATATTTCCAGCAATTCAAGAGAAGTCATTATATATAATAGTAATATAATTCTTGACTTATGCTCTATTTACGGTTCTAGTGCCATCTAGCTTGTTCGTAATTGTGTTGATACAGTAATTGTTCGGTGGAGTACAGGCTGTAGGTGTGAACAATTTTTCACACAGAAATTGTGGCCCAGCGCATACCGCACATTGCGCTATAAAAAGAAAATATAGGACATAATTTATAAGTAGAAAAAAAGGAAAATATATATAATTAAACTACTTAATTAACAGTTGCATAACTATTTGAGAGGCCGGCGCCCAAAAGGGGTAACATATAGAAAGGAAGGATGACGAAGAACAAAGTACCAGTGTATCAACATTTAATGCTTAATAAAAGAAAAAGAGAAGTATGTAAATAAATGTTATTCTTATAAAAATATGTTCATTTTGGAATAAATGTAAATTGTTACTTGTTGTTGGTGGGAGTGTTTTAGGTGGAGGACTCGTTGTAGTAGACTGTATGATTGATGATTTTGTCGTCATCTGTATGGTTTTTCGTCTGTGTTGTTTGTGAACCTGGATAAATATATATATTAAGAATAACTGTTTTACGTAAAACGAGCAGACAAAATTGATATGCATGTATTCATTCCTAAACAAAGTCAGTAATGAAAAAATGAAGGTTTTGTATTTCAAAAGAAAAAAGCGACTAAAAACATGTATGTTTCTACCATTGTTCTTAACTTATACATAACTTAATTTATTTTGTCTTAAACAAATCGACGTTCGTGTTTACTTTGACTTGATGTGAACACATTGAAATTGTTGATGTCACATGGTTTGATTCATTTGCTCCGCTAGATGGCGTGCATAAACCACAAAATTTGGATCCAGACCAGCCTGCGCATCCGCGCAGTCTGAATCATTCAGGATACATGCTGTTCGCTTACAGATCCTATTATATAAGTAGAAAAACTGAAAGCGAACAGCATGGTTCCTGATCAGACTGCTGCGCGGTCGCGCAGGCTGGTCTGGATCCATGCTGGTCGCAAACGAACTATGTTGGTTTTGTCATGGCGCGGTTCATTAACATGTTTTATTAAGACACAAGATGGTGTTTTTAATTTCCTTCAATTGGTACAAGGCGTTTGCCATTTTACCAGCAGAACTTTATTGGTACTTCAGAAAACTAACAAAATACTGCTGGTCAAATAGAAATTTTACACTAATTTTATGCTAAACATGTATGTACCATAGATCAAAGAAGTTAATATTTTTTAATTTTGTTGGCATCATATTCTCACGTACCTGTGGATGTTACGGAATGTTGTTGAAGCAGATTTTGTATTTCCTCCATCAGAGGGCATGCATAAACCACAGAATTCGGACAGTATAATAAAGTGGGTGGGGTGTCTTTCTTGGCACATATATTTAATGTATCATTCATTTTTGTTTTACAGTCTATGTGACCATTGTCTATACATGTATCTATTGTTGTTCCTTTGGGTGGCAATAGTGTAGACACATCCGCTGAAAACATCAAAGGCTCATTATCATGATTATAAATGCCTTAGAAATGCTAAAATATTTATTTCTCAAAACGTTTTCTATCTTTGGTATTATGACACAGTTTAAAAAAAAATGCGCATTTGCCATATCCATAAATTACTTTTTGCTCTGATTGCATATATATACTGAATTAGAATTTTGTTTGGAAGTCAAAACATTTTGCTACAATTACGACACATCACTGCAAGTTCAGTGCTACTTTCTTCTAACATGCTCTTTTATTAAAACATATCAAACACATTTGGTATTTCTAAAGAATTTCAAAAAATATAAATGTCTGAGGCATAATGTTCCTTTATCGGATCATATGTGATCATTGATTTTTGTGATAAAATTGTTGGAAGATAGATTTTAAAAATAGTAATTTGTACCACTAGACCATTATTTCGAATAAACAAAATGATGTTTTTGTGACTGTTCGGTCAATACAAAAAAATATCATTTTCAACATCAATACCTAATCTAATTTTCTCAACATGAAAAAAAAATTCAAAAACATCAAAACAAAATCTATTTTTCTCAACATCAATTCAAAATATTTTTTTAAAACATCAACAGGAAATCAACCTTTTCAAAACATCAATACAAAATCTGATTTTTAAAACATCAATACAATATCTAATTTTCCCAACATATCATTTCACCATTTCTTCGGGTTTTTCTTACTTATGTGAAGCCAAATAAAGAAGAACCTATAGAGACTGTTGTAGCCACGTGATGTGTTACATTGCCTTTGCTTGGAGATGTACATAAACCACAGAATTTTGGACAGTATAATAAAGTGGGTGGAGTGTCTTTCTTGGCACATATATTTAACGTGTCATTCATTTGTTTGCAGTCTATGTGACCATTGTCTAAACATGTATCTATTGTTGTTCCTGTGGGTGGAAGTAATGTGGATCCATCCGCTAAAAAACATTACAACAACTGATATGTAAATAATGAAACCTTTGCATTATTTTTGAATTTCATCATTGCATTTTAGCATTTTACACGCCCGTTTAACTCACAACGAGTGAAAAATGTCCATCGGTAAAAATGTTGTGAGCAACTTCCGTTCCTCGTTGTGAGCACCCATCTTTGACGAGTGACACGATAAACAAGGTGAGTTTTTCATAATTTTTGAAGATTACAGACATTTATGTAAAAATATCGAAATGCAGTTAGCTAGCGATGTGTTTTCCGAGTATGCACATGTAAAGATATTGCCTGTTGGGGGACAATTTGATGGAAATACCGTGCGACGCAGTCACTCGGGGTAGCTGGAAAACTGGAGACAACTTCTCTTTGGACCTAATTTAACATTGAAAACGTCGATTCTGGTGACGTTTTGTGCATTCTAACCTAAAACAGATGCCAACAAGTCTTCAGCGTAAATTATTATCTGAAAGTCTTCATAGAAACGAAGATATACCCTTTTTTGCTTTAATCCTCGTTGTGAGCACCATAACCTCGTTGTGAGCAAGACAAGCGTAGTGCGTGTATGGTTTTAATATGTAATTCAGATGGTGAAAATATAATTTTCAAATCTACCACAGCAATTAAAACGTTTTTGCACAGCAGCATTTCTTTGCAAGACGTTGTGCATACCCCAAAGGGAGGCATATTAGTTTTGAACTGTCCGTCTGTCAGTCCGTCAATCTGTCGAAAAACTTTAACATTGGCCATAACTTCCTTATTAGTAAACGGATTTGTTTCATATTTTGAACACAACATCCCCTAGCACCTTTCTACGGACCTGTATTTTTTTTACCTTGACCCCTGAATGGCCTTTACCTTGAAGGTCAAATTGTCCAAAAACATTTAAGATTGGCCATAATGTCCTGGCATAATGTTTAGGCACAACACATCTTTGGACAAGGCCTTTCAACTATCCTTATCTCTTTGACCTTGACCCCTGAATGACCTTCACCTTGAAGGTCAAATTGTCCAAAAACTTAAAAATTGGTCATAACTTCCTTATTAGTATACGGATTCTACTCATATTTTGAAACAACACCCCTCTAATCTGATCTGTATTTTCTTTACCTTGTACCGTGAATGACCTTCTAGAAAATCCAAAAACTTTAACATTGGTCATAACTTCTTTATAAGTAAGTGGAATTAATTCATATTTGGACACAATGCCCCTTTGGACAAGACCTTCCAACTGACCTATATTTATTTCACCTTGACCTTGAATTACCTTCACATTGAAGATCTAATTGTCCATAAACAAATAATCTATCTGGTCCATAAATCTAAGGACAAAGCACCACTTCAGGGGCATTGCCAACTTACCGTGATAGTTCTTGTTTTACATAACTTGGTCAGTCTTCAGCTCAGGATAAACACATGTATGTGTGTATCACACAGATTGTGAAATTGTTGAAATATTCATAAACACCGCGTGATGTTCAGTCGTGCCACACTAGAGTATACGAAATAAAATACCTGATTTACCTCCACTGATTAGTTCTTCTGTTAATCTGATATGACTTGTGAATATGAAGAATAATTTTCAAAAAAAAAAAAAAGAAGAACTATTGCAAAGAAAACTATTGTACAAAAACGTTTTGATTGCTTTTGGTAGATTGAAAATTGTATTCTTGCCATTTGAATTACATATTAAAACCAGACAAGCACTGCGCTTGTCTTGCTCACAACGAGGTTATGGTGCTCACAACGAGGATTAAAGCAAAAAAAGAGTATATCTTCGTTTTCTACGAAGACTTTCAGATAATAATTTACGCTGAAGACTTGTGGGCATCTGTCTGTTTAGGTTAGAATGCACAAAACGTCACCAGAATCGACGTTTTCAATGTTAAATTAGGTCCAAAGAGAAGTTGTCTCCAGTTTTCCAGCTACCCCGAGTGACTGCGTCGCACGGTATTTCCATCAAATTGTCCACCAACAGGCAATATCTTTACATGTGCATACTCGGAAAACACGTCGCTAGCTAACTGCATTCCGATATTTTTACATAAATGTCTGTAATCTTCAAAAATTATGAAAAACTCACCTTGTTTATCGTGTCACTCGTCATAGATGGGTGCTCACAACGAGGAACGGAAGTTGCTCACAACATTTTTACCGATGGACATTTTCCACTCGTTGTGAGTTAAACGGGCGTGATTTTATACGGGTTTCAAAAGCTTCTCGTTTGATCTTGTATATACCGATGTTCTAATACCATAGTTTCTTGCACCTTTGACAAGAACAACGAACAATTTGCACGACGTCTTCATTAATCAACAAATCAAATTTTTCCACCTTTCTAATATCAAACAGCAAATGATATAGAATACTTTACAAAATCTTCAACTCTTTTTCCTAGACAATTTAGTTAAATTTCTTCATGCAGATTGCGTCAAATTTGTGATAATTCTATGTAAATGAAATATTGTTTAACTTTGTTTCTTTTGAGCGACAACTGCATCTGTAAACCTACGAGTAAGGAGCTTATTCACAAATAAAATAAATTTAATACCTATAGAATCTTGTAATCAGTTTTGTTACTGACAATGTTGTCAAGTATACAAACTAAATATGAACATAAGCTATTCCAATGCACCTTTTATCTATGACATATTTCTACATTTCTACCTTTGTCGAATTGCTAAGAAGCGTCCTGGTGCCAATTTAACATGTTCTATAAAAAAAT